CAAGTGGTATCAGAGCAGTGTTTGTTTTTGTGTTATATTGGTGTTTTATTATCTCCTCTTCTCTAGATAATTTATTCCTTTCAAAATGGCTTTGCAAAACACTAGCACAAACTTTCACGATAATGGCTTGCTTGCCAAACCTCCCCGGTTTATTAGAGACAAATTTAGTCTCTGGAAGAACCGATGTCTCTCTTTTTGGAAGGTGTGGATACTGAGATTACATACTACATAGAGAATGGACCTTATGTTCCATCTGCTATCTCTCCAGCAGTTCCTGCAACTGTGACGACTGCCGTAATTTTTGAACTGCATATTCCAAAGCTCCCTCATCAATGGAGTGATGAAGACAAGAAGAAGGTGGCTTTAGACACTTATGCGAGGTCTATAATAGTCATGGCTCTTCTTGACGAGGTCTATCACTCTGTGATGAAGCTTAAAATCTCGAAAACCATGTGGGACACTCTCTGTGTTCAATATAAAGGTGTTTATGAAGTACAAGAATCGAAGAAGATTAATTTAGTAAGACAATATGAAAGTTTTCTTTGTGGAAAAACTGAATCTTTGTCTGAAGTACATCAACGATTTAATTGTCTTCTTATTAATTTGAGGACAGTTGGAAGAGAAATATTCCAACTCATAGACATTGACAAAATTTCTTGAATGTTTGCCAGAAGCATGGAATCAGTATACCATATGTCTCAAGATGTCCAAGGACATGTCATCCCTTTCTCTCAGTTCTTTTTATGGGATTTTGCTTAATCATGAGCAATCCCGTCAGCTAAAAAAGAATACTCTCAAATACTCCAGGGAAATAAAAAGCTCTCTGTTAGCTTTGATCTTTGATAGCCCTTCAACTGACCCTTCTATTTCTTCTATTTCCTCTTTTGTTTCTATCACTGAGTTAGATTCTTCTAACTCTGAGGACTTAACAGACGTTGATCTTTTAGAGTTTAATGAGTCGTTGGCCCTTCTAACTAACTCTTTCAAGAGGTTCGGTAGAAAAAAAATACCGCAGATCTCCTTCGCTGACCATAGCTAAAAATCCAAAGTCAAACCCCATTGATAAGGCTTCAGCGAGCTGCTACCATTGTCAATGCAAAGGTCACTTTGCAAGTGAATGCAGGTCAAAAGATAATTGTGACGCCATCTTCCAACATCCCATCCTCTTTCATCTCTCAAAAGAACAAGTACCTGAAACTAAAGAAGAAGATGAAGAATCTTCAGCGTAAAGGCAAAGGTCTTGTCGCTGAATAGCATGACTGGGCTGATTCTTCTGATGAATCATCCTTTGACGAGGAATACGCGACCTATCTCTGTCTAATGGCCAAGGATGTCAAAGATGAATCATCTGAGAAATTATTCTCCAATGATCCCTTGTCATCAACCTTTGCTCAAGTTTGTAACCTAAATGAACCCTCTTCTTCTTCTTCTTCTTCTTATAGCCTATCTTCACTAGATACGCTGACGGTTGACCTTAACAATGCCCTGAATGAAAAATCCAAAGCTGAAAACTTAATCTTGATCTTCAAGAACAATTAGAGAAATTCCATTCAATATCAAATAGCTGAACAAGATTAAGGAAAATCTTAAGGATCAGTCATTGTAAACCAGACCACTAGCATCGAACGCGAACAAGCTATCGCTGAGCATGAGCAATCTATTGCTGAACTCAAGGCTGAGAAGGCTACCATTGAGGGGTGGTGCAAAGCCTCTATTAAGGCCTCTAAGATCATCAACGCTTAAATCTTGCCAAAATAAAGAGTGGTCTAGGATTCTCCTATAATCAGGAAGAAAGTGTCACTGATAAGTCCATGATGAAGTTTGGTACTTTTGTCTCTTATATTCCTGACACCTCTTCCTCTCAGTACTCTTCCACTGAGACTTCTCTTGAAGGAACTCCCTCTAGTTCAGCACGCAAAGACAAAGGTAAATCCATTGTCAGCGCTCCTCTTCCACAGAAGGCCAACAAGTCAAATAGACCCAGATCTATTCCTTCAGCTTGTAAACCTTCTTCCTCAGGGACCAAGGTCTCTGAAACATCTCAGAGATCTAAGTTAAAGCTGAAAGTAAACCTTTCATCCAAGGTACCCAAACCCTTAGTTGTTCCTCCATGAACAGAGGAGAAAAGTATCCTTGGAAGCTCATTGTCCTAACTCAAATAACTAGAAGACGAAACCAATACAAAGCATTTTAAACAAGATTAAACACATATAAAAACATTATAACTAGTATTTCTATGTAATAAAAGTGAGTTAGGAAACTTACTTGGTCCATTGTGATGAAGAGGTTCGAAGAAAGAAAGAATTTACAGAGTGATTCTCGATTGTGGGAACAATTTCTTTGCTTGTGAAAGTGTAGGGAAAATAGTCCTCCACTTGTGTTTTTATACCGGTGGTGAAACCCCCACCTACCGCAATTATATTAAGTAAATTTGGTAGGTGGGGAGTGGGGAGTTGTGAATGTGCTCATCGATAAAATCCCCAAAAATCTTGACATTTAGCAAGTTATGGATCTGCCACTTGTAGGTCCCTTATTCTGATTTAAAAAAAATACCATTTGCAAGTTGCAGCTATGACATTTGCAGAGGTAATGACTTTTTTTGTGATTTTGGAAAAGAAATGGCTAAGAGGAGAAAACATATGATCAAAATGGTTATTCTGAACAATTTCCCTTGATTTCACCAAAACATAATTAACACATGAAAGTGAATTAATTGGATTTATTCAATAAATAAAGTTAAAAAGACTATGATTTAACTGGCATCATGATTTTTTTATCATGATGATGTTGTGTAAAACTATGCCTCATGTTCCCTGCGTAATATGAAAGGCTAGATCAAGTTAGAATTCAAAAAGTTGTTATTGACAAAGAAATCTTACCACATATATTCATAACTATTTATACACGTACACACGGTGCTTTAATTTCTACTTAAAATCTACAAATGACATACCTGTATGTGAAATGGTTGCAAAAGAAATGGCACTACCCCTTTAATGTTGTAGCCTTACAATAAACAAAAAAGAAGTAAATAGATAGGTTTGAAACGTCATTTTTGAATTTGTGTACACATAGCTATATAAGTTGTGTTTTCTCTTGTCAAATAATTGAAATACTTTTTCAGTAATAAGTAAATTTAGAGGAGCAACCACAAGGGTGGTGCCTGATTGGTTTGAGCTTGGCTCCAAAGGTCAAAAGTACTAGGAGGTCCCAGGTTCAAATCCAATGAGAAATAAAAATCCCCTTGTGCCACGAAGGTTCAAATGCGATGACTCCGGGCTATCTGCAAAGTAGGTGGCCGCTCTGGGATTAGTCGGCTCGTATAGCGGGTTGGATATCCAGGTTAATCAAAAAAAAATTAGAGGAGCATCATTTCTTGAATGATAAAAATGAAAAACAAGTGATTTAATCCAAATAAATTATAAACTAGATATATATAACTAATTTAGAGTATACTATCTAAATGCATTACAATAAGTTGTTAAGACAAAGTTATGCGAACTAACAAGTTCTATCCACAAAATACACAACCCAGTGGGACATAAAAAATATCCCAAAGACTCCTCTTTTAACCAAATTTGGTTTTTTAAACTCACTAAAAACATCTAGAATAGAGTTTTTTGGAGTTTTTTAGCCACACAAGCATGTGGAAAAAAATCATAATAAGAAAAATCAACTTTTTATTTGTGCACTTCAAACTTGTTTTTTACTTGTGGGTCCTACTTAAAAAAAGCTTCAATGAGAAACTGCATTCTCGATGATGCTCTATATTTTATACTATTTGATCAGGGTCATTCTGACCCTATCTTTTAAGGGACCAAAGGTTACCGATAAAGCATTAATTTTCAAATGAAAGAAACCACCATGGGGCACTTGTACACCATCTTTTAACCATCGACATGTTCGATCAACATAAACGTGAAACAAATTAATAGGGATGTGACAACATGTGTGATTTAGAAGACTACTAATATAAGTTGTGAAGTGCACAAGAGAAAAAATTATTTAAGAATGATTTTGGACACACATTGGACAACTTGACGTGAGAGCTAATGATCTAGAGAATATCTTTAACATGCTACATAAATTAGCGTTTAAGAAACCAATTTGACAAACAACTCGTTAGGCAAAGAAACCATGAAATGAATACAAATTGACAATGTTATATACTCAATTAATGTAATTAAAGCAATGTGATTACTAACACCTAAATCAACTAGACATGTTTTATTTCATCTAGTGGAGCATATGTATAAAGGAGATAAACTAGTAAATCATGTACACTTTCCTACATACTCTTAGGGTGTGTTTAGTACATTGGACTAAACAGAAGATAACAAAGATCACTATTCTATGTTTGACAAGATTTTTATGTGAAACCATATAGGAATAAAGTGGAACAAAGCATTATCTGTCCTGCCCAGCTCCGTCTTACTAAGGGCAACTCCAAGGTTTTGCCGTTCTTTTGGTTCCAATCGTCCTGCAAAATCACCAAAGAGATAGCGTCTCTTGAAAATGACCGGCATATTTGCCGGGGAAGAAGATGGACGGCATTTTGCCAAATAGGTGGTCCCCACCAACTTTTTGTAATATTTAATGATTTTTAAATAAGTTATAAATAAATAAATAATTATAAATATTAAGTTTTAGGTTTTTATATTTATTATTTAATTTTATATATATATATATATATATAATAAATTATTAATAACACAAATATGATACCGGATAAACGTAAACGTATTTTATTAATGAAAATTTTAAAAACTGAAATACATAAATTAAAGGGTCCAATCATCTCCGCTAGGCATAAACTGACTAAAGCTTCCTGCTACGTTTTGAGATCCTTCAGATTGGTCTTGAGCTGCTTCAAATTGTTGATGTTGAGATACTCGATATTGAGATGCTACAAATTCTGATCCTTGTCCAGACATATGAACCTGGGGTTGCGCTCTCTCTCTCTCGCTATTCGAATTTTCTCATTTTTTACGAACTCATACCACATAGGATCAGTGATAGAGGTTAGATCGGTGCACATAAGTTTGTCATCCGCCAACCTTGCCTCTAATGCAAGTTTCTGAGCTTGAAGCTCATTCCTTCGCATCATAACTTCAGTGGTTTTAGCCATTTGTTTCTTCATTTTTTTACTAGCCTTAACTAAATTATCTAGCTTATTATCAGATTGTAGCTTTGATTTTGCCTTTTTCACACCAATTGGTCTTTGAGTACCTTCTACGTCATGAATAGTCAACGACGGTAAACCGGCATCTGTCCCAGACGATGAACCAGGACCGGAAATAGGTGATTGATAAGGACTGTGTCGTTGATACTGAGTTGATGCAGTGACATTTGATAAACTCTCGGAGTCTTTCAAGATGTTCCAGACATGATCAAACTTAAAACCCTTCTTATAGGATCCATCAAGTTTTAACATCTCTTTCGCTTCGTTCATCTATGAAAAATACACGTTATATTTAAATTAATAAAACAATGATCAAGTAAAACAATAAATACTTACGATATCTTGTTCAGAAGCGCCACTTGAATTCCTCATTTCAACTTGATTGATACACCCTCGCATTTTTTTGCAAGCTTTTAGAATGCAAGACATTCTCATTTCCAATGATCTTCTTGGTCGAGGATTGGTTGCGAACGGTTCGGTTTGGTGATAAAGAGTTTCTATTCTTGACCAAAACTTATCTTTTGATTGGTTTCTACCTATTATTGGATTTTGAGTTATATCAAGATAACAATGACATAGTTGTATGTCTTCGTTATCTTTGTAGGATGAAGTTCGGTTGTTGAAGACATTTTTAGTACCTATGGCTGGTAATATGTGTGATTTAGCTTACCAACTCGCCCCCTATTTATACACAAAAATGAGTTCATTACAAATGAAGACATATTAGACAATACACTGGGAAGATTTTTCTGAAAAGTCTGGCAAGATTCTTTTGAAAAGTCTGGCAAGATTCTTCTGGAAAGTCTGGCAAGATTCTTCTGGTAAGAATTGACAACACCATTGATTCTCACTATAAAACGTGAATCACAGCTCAATGAAAATAACTCAACTATATTTTGCAATCTTTTTTGTTGAGAAATACCACTCAAATGGCTGATAATTCGTATTCAGACGATGAGGTTTTTGATAATACACAGGACGAACTAATGGTCGAGGCATTCAATCTAGCGTCTGAAATGGATAATTATATCTGTAATTATGCTGGCAACAATCAATTATCTTCTTATCGTGGTTCTATTCCTGGCCATATAGTTATCAATCGTGATCGGGAAAATGCCGATTGCAATCTCTTCAATGATTATTTTTCTGAAAATCCTCGATTTCCTGAGTCGATGTTTCGTCGACGATTCCAAATGAGTCGTACTTTATTTGTTCGTATTTTGGATGTTATCCAAAGTCATGACAATTACTTTCTCCAACGAAGGGATGGATGCGGCAAACTTGGGTTTGTCCGGTTATCAAAAAGTTACTGCTGTATTTCGAATGTTGGCATATGGCGTGGCTGCAGATGCTACAGATGAGTACGTTAAAATAGGCGAATCGACCGTTTTAGAAGCTTTGAAGCGGTTTTGTGGTGCCATCGTGGAGGTGTTTGGAGAACGCTATCTCCGAATACCCAATGCTAATGATGTGGCACGACTACTCCAAGTTGGAGAACAACGAGGTTTTCTAGGAATGTTAGGTAGTGTAGATTGCATGCATTGGAAATGGAAGAATTGTCCAACCGGTTGGGGAGGACAATATTCCGGTCGTAGTAGATCTCCAAGTATTATTCTTGAAGCTGTAGCTGACTATGATCTTTGGATATGGCATGCATATTTTGGTTTACCGGGGTCCAACAATGACATTAATGTGTTGGAATCCTCCCATCTTTTTTGCAAATCTTACAGCAGGTACTGTTCCTCCTGCTAATTATGTCATCAAAGGAAAATCATATAATATGGGCTATTATTTAGCTGATGGCATATATCCAAAATGGGYCACTCTTGTTCAATCTATTCACGATCCACGTGGCCCTAAAAAACAATATTTTGCAAAGAAACAAGAAGCATGTAGAAAAGACATAGAACGTGCATTTGGCGTATTGCAATCAAAGTTTGCAATAATAGCAGGACCTGCACGGTTATGGAGGAAGGAAATCTTGCATGATATAATGACTTCGTGCATCATTATGCATAATATGATTATAGAAGATGAACGTGATATTAATGCACCAATTGAAGAACGAAGTGTAGTGCAAGACGTGGGAGTTGAGATGATGAACGATGGTGGACTTGAACAGTTTCTTGCTCGACACAAAAAGATCAAGGATAAAGATGYTCACTTTGAACTTCGTAATGCATTAATTGATCATTTGTGGGACGAGTATACTAACTCGGAGAATTAGTATTATTTATGTATTTTTTTTAATTTGTGCTATTTGAACTAATGTAATATTTTTAAATATAAAATTTATTAATTACAATTTTATCGTTTTTATTTTAACATTTCTTAATATCTATTACAAATTATAAATATTGTTATTAAAAATAGTAAATAAAATATGTTATTTTAATGTGGGGTCCACAAATTTGGTTTTTTTTTAGAGTGTGATTGGAGTTGAGTTTTTTTTTTGTGTTTATGGGCCCACCAGATTTGGTGTTTTTGGTGTTTTTTTTTTGTGATAAGAGTGGAGTTGCCCTAAATGGTTATTATGTTATGTCTTGTCTTGTTCAGTCCTCTCATGTCTGGATAACAAACGTACCCTAAAGATTTATCAACATAAACAATGAGAAACAAATTAAAGCACACACATAAACAAAATAACCAGAATTTAAGATAGGCACATTAGCAGATTGGATAAGACATAAACCTTATACCAAATATGAAAAATAAAGAAACTTATAGGAATTGAGAGTGAGAGACTAGGAAATCAAAAATTACAAGTCAAAATGAATTAAGGCAGCCATGAATTGGATTATTTGATGATGCCCCTTAAGCTATGATGTCTCTTTACTATGACGTATTTGTGATGTTGCCTAGGCTATACATGGCTAGGGCGACCTTGATTTTGTTGTTGAACAATTAAACACCATCAAGAGACCAGCCACATAAAACTTATGAACGTTATCGATCAGTATGGTTCCTCTCTAGAAAAATGAGAAAAAGATAATGGGTTCTAATCACAAGCTTATACAAAAAGTGATTTTTTTATCATTAAGATAGTTTATGCAACATAACAATCAAATAACAGTGTAGCTAAATCAATTCAAAATTACAAACAACTTAATCTACATTGACAGCTTGACCTTTCACTATCCATTTTTTGCTTTCAAAATGCTTCCAACTTCTGTATTTCTTTCCGTCTCTCTTTGTCCTTCATAATTGCTCCTCACAAAACACAAATGACAAATGTACTTCTTCACTGATTTTCAAATAAATAATAAAAACTAAAATCTCTAAAAAAGTTATACAACTCTAATAACTTTTAATTTTAAAAATTACAATATTAATTATATTAATAAAATATTTAATAAATCGAAAAAAAAATCCACTTTTCTCTATTTCAAGGGGTGTTTGGGATTGTTTATAAAAACGATTTATTAGTTTATTCTGGTGTGACACCGATAATAAGTTTTTTTGAGTGTCTGGATAAACAACTTATATCGGTGCCAAACCGGTAATAAGAAGTTTTCGAGGAAGATAAATCATTCTAACTTCTAATAAGTTGATAAACATTTTTGTAGAAAAGCATAACTTGTTTCAAATAAGCAATCCCAAACACCCTCTTAGTATAGCTATTGGAGGTGTTCCTAGAAGGTGGAAACTTATAAAGAAAAAAACCATTATTACCGATGTTAAACCGGTATAAATATATCTTTTTCTTTTCTATTTAAACACTTAAAACTTTTTATTTATTACTGATATGTGGTCGGAATAAGTTGATAATTACTAGAACGGTACTCATGCAATGCAGCGAGATACATTTCGATTTTAATGATTCGTTTCTTTTGTCTCAGTCGATGTTAGAATACGGTTTTATGTCGTTTTGAGAAAACGACAATGTTTTTTATTTTTGAATAAAATATAAATATGAAGATATCATAAAAATTTGAAATATATATATTGATATTAGTACCAAACTAACAATATAAAATTTCTCTTTTTTTTGTAATTTTTTAATTCATTTTTTATGTTTGGTTTAATAAAATCACTTTTTATAAAATAATAATTAAGTATTTTGTTAGAACTCAATTATTTTAATTATATTTTAAATTTTTTATATTTAAAATGAAATGTTTATCTTTTATTTGATTATATTTATCTGTAGTTAGTTATACGAATTCAAATATGAAGTTTTAATCAATTGTATTTACATATAATTTATTTATAATTTTGAATTTTAAGTAATATAAAAAAAAATATTTAATATATAAAAAATAATTTTTAAGAATTTTTATTAAATATTTTATGATACTTTCTATATATATGTAATTTAAATAAGCAATCCCTGTTTCGGTTTGCTTTGAAATTTTAGCTGCTTAACTGAACCTCCCCTATGAAGCTCTGCTCATCCTCTCCGTTACATCTCCGGCGACCCTTCTGCTCACTCTTCTCCGCTTATTTCTCTACAGAAATTAACCCCCCGCCACCGTCTCTACCGCCTCGTTTTCTGTACTTGCAATCTGTACTCGATCAAATCAAACTTCTGTCCAGAAACCCCAACAATTATTCTTCTCTAACCACTCTAGATTCATTACTAGCCAAAACTCATTTGTTAGATTCTGCAACATCTCTCGTTTTAATCGATTATCTATCCCAGATAAAGAAGCTTGGCAGGAGCAAAACAATGATTTCACGTTTGAAATCAAGAGGAAGTGTAAGTGATCCCTTTTTATACGGTTTAGTGTTTGATTTTTTAGTTGAAGATGGTACTATTAATGATGTTGAGAACGTATGGGCAGAAGTTGGTGGCTCAGTGAAAAGCTTTAATTTCTCAAATTACGTGATTTTAGTGTGTAAATTTGGTGGGGTTGATGAAATTAAGGATGTTTATGAGAGAATTTTAATGGGCGTTGCGAGTGTTTTGGACAGACAAAGCTATGTTGCTTTATCTGGGGCTTTATGTAATGTGAATGAGGGATTATTAGCTAAAAATATTGTGAAGGAAATGTATGAAAGGGGTATGGCAGTTGATGGTTGGACATACTTCTTGCTGTTCCAATGTTTCTGTAGAAATGGGGATTTTGATGAAGCTGATCTGGTATTGAGGAAACTTGTTAAAAATGGATTCATCATTGATATATGTATATATGGAAGCTTTCTCCATGGTCTTTGTAAATCGGGCAAACTTCGTGAAGCCAATAAGTTGTTCCAAAAGTTAATAAAACGGAGTCCTGTGAGAGGTTCTAATGAGAGAGGTGTGGTGTTGAAGGAGGGGAGAAGAGCAATCTTTCAATTGAATTGTGAGGGTGTTGTTCCAGAAATGATGGCCTACGAATCTTATTTTCGTGCTCTGTGTAACGCGGGAAAGCTTGATGAGGCAGAAATTTTGTTCAAGAAGATGATGAAGGGTAGAATCTTGCCTGAGATTTGTGTTTATGGTTCATTCATAAAAGCGCTTATTCGAGCTGGTAGGGATAAGGATGCTATAAAGTTCTTTAATGTTCAGAAGAAGAAGGGGTTGGTTCGAGTTGATGAGATAGGTAGACATGTAATTATGGGGTTATGTGAAAAGGGAAAAGCTGATGATGCTTTGAGGCTGTTTGAAGAGATTGTTATGGTTAACGGTTTTGTCAATAGTTCAAACGTTTGTAATTCTATTTTGCAAAGTTATTGGAAAGAAAGTAGGGTGGCCAAGGCCGAGCTCTTTTTTGAGAGATGGCAGTTGCACAAATATAACTATGGGAGACCTGATGTAGTGACTTACACAATCATGTTAAATGGATATTGCAGCCATAATGATGTTTTAAAAGCACTTGTGGTGTTTGAAGAGATGTTGAAGAGCAAAATGGTGGTCAATGGGGCATTGTATGAGAGACTTATAAGAGGATTATGTGATTCTGGACGGGTAAATGAAGCCTTTCAATACTTGAATGACATGATTGAGAATGGGCATTTCCTTTTCTGCAAGAGATGGCGAGCACTCTTCCGATCAATCCTGAGCATTCATGGTTTGATTAATCTTGAGGCTGTACAGATGCAATGAAATGGAAATTTGGTTTTCGCCTTAACTTGATCTTGCACAGTTGAGTTCGCAGACTCAGGCAACAAATACCTTTTTTGTAGTTTTCTAGATCATGATAAACAAAATGCATTCCTTGTACGTTTATACTCATCACTTTGATATGATTTTGAAGCTATAAAGAATTAACGAGATGAGATTTGTTTTTCGCTTCAGCTTGATCTTGCATAACTCGCATTTGCACATTACTGTCTGTTTTTGTTTGCTTCTTCATGGTAAACAAAGATGCACCCATCATATGTTCAGGCATTCCTTTGATTGGGTGTGGAAGCTATAAGGAGTCGGATCAATGGGATTTGGTTTTTCAGCTTATTTGGGATCTTGCATAGCTCAAATTTGCATATTAATGTCTCATTTATGGTGTTCTGTTTCATGATTGATAGAATCATTTTACAATTTTGTTTATGATAAAAATGATTCAAATGATGGAACGAAATCAAGTTGAACCAAAGATCATTGGTATGGCCCATTTGTTAGGCTTTGATGTCTTGATTCAACTCAGAAAATCAGAATCTGGTATGGGTGGTTTGGTTCCTTCTTGTATTAAACTAGATTGAACTAAACTTCTTACACTATTGTCTCATAGACCTTGTAATGTTTTGCTCAGACACATGATTTGATGACTTTATTTGATTGTTAGCCTCATATCAGTTAAGCAATCTTGTGGATCACCACCAATGACATGAACAAGTTGTAATAATAACAACAATAAATAAGCAAGTTTTTTGCTTAGGTGTTTTCATGGGGACATATGATTTCTAAAGTATATGAACCTCTCTGTACAATTTTTATATTGAATACCATACATATTTAACAAATCTAATATTCATTACAAAATGCAAGAATTGAGTTCCTATTATGTGGATTGATTAATTCCTTTATTGAATATATTTAATGAAGATATGTTTTCTTTATCATGATTCATGACAGGAAGGAGAATATGTTATGGGGTTATCAGTTTATCTTTTATTTAGTTGATCTTTTTGTTGGTTTTCGTTTGTTTTTTTAATGCCATATATAGATATATTCCTTTTCTGAGGTTCATCAGAGTCAAACTTGGCTGCTTGGCTCAATTGTTATAAGTTTGCTTACTTCCTTAGGAGTCCTGGTGCACCAGGGTTGACTTTTATATACAATCTTAATGGGCATTTCTCTCCATTTCCAGATAAGTGACTGACCCCCTTCTTCGTTAAGCTTCCAATTTCTCTATGGAGAAAAGAATGAACCACTGAAATCATGGGTTTGACAAGCAATGAAAAATCTCTTCACATAGTGATGTTCCCATGGCTAGCCATGGGTCATCTCATACCTTTCTTGCACTTCTCCAAAATCTTAGCTGAAAAAGGCCATAAGATCTCTTATATTTCCACCCCAAGAAATCTATCTAGACTTCCCAAAATACCTCCAAAGTTATCCCATATTATCAACCTAGTTTCACTTCCCTTTCCCAAAGTGGAAAGTTTGCCAGAACTTGCAGAGTCTTCCATGGATATACCTCACCAAAAAGCTCAGTTTCTAAAAATAGCATTTGATCTGCTCGAGTCACCTCTGGTCACTTTTCTTGAAACCACCACTCCAAGGGTTGACTGGATTATCTTTGACTATGCTTCTCATTGGGTACCCTCAGTTGCATCAAAATTTGGTGTCTCCACTGCTTACTTTAGCCTCTTCACTGCTGCAACACAGGCTTTTCTTGGACCTCCATCATTGTTGGATGGCAAGATTATACGATCAACGGCTGAGGATTTTTGCCAGGTGCCCGAATGGGTCCCGTTTGAGTCGGATATTGTTTATCGCCTCCATGAGGTGACCAAGTACACAGAGGGTGCAATCAGCAACGAATCAGGTGTTTCGGATACGGTAAGGTTTCTAGCCTCCGTGGATGGTTGTGATTTGGTTTTGTTTAGAACAAGTTTTGAGTTTGAACCTGAGTGGTTCAATCTTGTTTGTGAGCTTTATCAAAAGCCTGTTATACCAATTGGGGTTTTGCCCCCAAAAAATGATGATTTTGATGATTATGAAAATTGGGATTTCGTAAAGAAGTGGTTAGATGAACAAAAGGTTGGTTCGGTTGTTTTCGTAGCCCTTGGAAGTGAGGCCACTCTGAGTCAACTCGAAATTGGTGAGTTGGCTCTAGGGTTAGAGCATTCGGGTTTGCCTTTCTTTTGGGTATTAAGAAAGCCGATCACCGAGTTGACTCAGACGCTTCCTGACGGGTTTCGGGAGAGGGTTAAAGGTCGTGGGGTCGTTTACTTAGGGTGGGCCCCACAAGTTAGGATATTGAGTCACTCGTCAATAGGTGGCTTCTTGACTCACTGTGGTTGGAACTCGGCCATTGAAGGACTTGCATTTGGGCGCGTATTGATCTTCTTTCCTGTTATGAACGACCAAGGGTTGAACGTGAGGTTGCTGAGTGGAAAGAAACTGGGAGTCGAGATTCCTAGAAATGAGAAAGACGGGTCATTTACGAGCGACTCTGTGGCTAAGTCAGTCAAACTAGCCATGGTGAGTGAAGGAGGAGAGCAAATAAGGAAAAATGCAAGAGAAATGAAAGGATTGTTTGGGGATGAGAGCAAGAATGATCTTTATATTGATGTTTGTATACAACGCTTGGTTCAAATGAGGAAACCAAACCCTGATGGATGAATTAGTGATCGTTTGTTTTTCTAAAATTACTTCTTTAATATTTTTGAAGTTTGATTCGTCCATATGTTTGATTATTGAGAGCATTTATTTTATTTTTGACATAAGAGCTTAAAAGTTCTAGATGTCCTCTGAAATTTTAAGTGGTAAATGTATTCTTTGATATCTCTTAATCCTAATCCGTCCTTAATCACATGGTTTATATTTTGAGGGCTCGAAGAGATTTGTTATAAAAAAACTATTCATCTTTTATATTATTATAAAAAAATATTTATCCTTTATATTTTTGCACTAGCTTTAACTGATTCAGATTTCAGACTTCAGACGTAAAAACAAACAATCATGCTGATTCAGACTTCAAATTTCAGGACCACCTCCTATAAATTAGAAATAAAATCAGACTTCAGACTTCAACACCTATTAGAAAACACACCTTAGTTTCTATCAAAATGTCTCCATTTTGTATTTGATATGTTTTGTATACTTAATTCAAGGGGTTTTCACCAAAATGACCAAATAATGCCCAATATATTAACAAAATAGTCATTTTTCATGTTTTTCCAAACTAACCACACGGGGGCATGTTTGACCATAGGGGGCGATCCAGCCCTCTTTGACCAAAAAAATACATAAAAATATTTTAAATTGATTTGCAGGGCCCACATGTATCCGATTTGGGAGGCAAAATATCTGGTTTTCCTTGAACAGGGGGATCACCCCCACCTACCCCTGGATCTTCCCTCGGGGACGATCCGGCCGTCCATAGTTGACCACTATTTTGTCTTCTAATGTAGAAATCAATTTGACAATTACGGGGTATTTTTCAATAAACGGAGGACGATTTTGACTAGGTTTTTAACTGTATTAGGATCAAGTGTTGTGGTTTTACTCTATAAAATCAAACACTTCTACTCTCACAACCCGTAACCCTTAAATATAATCTACCATGACAACCCTTAACACGATATGAAATCACGTCAAGATTTATAATTTTTACTACTTTTTTTATACGCATAAATTAACCAATGAATGTTTTTACATTTTCTTATAAGAATTATATTTTTGTATAACATTTGAATGTTAATATTTTTTAATAATTGTTAGATACGAAAAAAATTATTTGTATCTAATGTCATATTTTTATAACCACGTATTTTGACCGCTATTTTGTCATTTAATGGCATACGATTTGACGATATATTATGTCTTATTACGTAATGGTTTATATAAATAGGCGGTTGGAGGGACCATTATCACCTTCCCCACCAACATCCACCACTAGAAACACTTCCCCTTCCGGTATTCCGATCCCCCTCGACCATTGACCACCGATCACTGTCCACTGACATCCACCACCATCTGCTGCCACCTACCACCGTCCATCTCCGCCACTGACCACCTTCCGCTGCCACCGACCACCGTCTGCCACCACCTACCACCGTGTGCCTCCACTAACCACCGTCTGCCGCTACCTACCATCGTCTCCCGCCACCGACCACTGTGGAACAACCACCTACCACTATGGAACAACCGGTAAAAATTCGCAATATTTTTAATTCAACTTAAAAATCAATTTTTGTCTACTACCTAGCTTAATACTCTATAATTTATTTTTTCTAAAATTAATTTTGTATAGCCTCTAACATTTAATTTTTGAATTTATTTTTGACAGGTGTTTTACCAGTCGTTACTGACGTTGAGGGCTCAGATCTCAATAATAAAAAAACGATATATTAGCAAAGAATCAAAGGAGGTTAACATGCCAGATACATGTTTTGGCCAATGGTCAGATATATCTAACCACTATTCATATTCCTCCTTAATTAATTGGATGGTGCAATGTAAGGACCCCTCTTTCCCTTCTCAATCTGAAGAAATACATTATCGTGTTGGAGGGTTCCATTCACGGTTCAGCATAAATGAGTTTGTTTGATCACGGGTTTCTGATTTGGGCCGGATCTTCACTCGCCACATTGTACCATACCTAAAATTATTACAAGAGTGTTTGGTAAAATGACCAAACATGATAATTTTATAGTCGAGCATTTTAGAAATAAATTAATGGACTTAAGTAATAAAACTATATCAGACGTTGATAGGGTGCGTGTCTGCCTCGTAATCATATTCCATACGTTATTCCTAGGACAAAAAAAAGAACCACAATGTCCAAAACTGGATTTTGCATCTGATTGAAAATTTAGATGCCTGAAACCAGTACCCGTGGGGTTCGTATATATGACGTTTGACATAGAGTTGTACAAAATCCGACCCAAAAAACCCCGAACCGAACCGATATCTATGAACCGAACCAACCCGAGGTCTGAAATCCGAAAATTATATCACGTTAGTAGGATAGGGTAGGATCTTATGATCCAAAATCCGAACTCGTCCGAAACCCGAATTCTTCAACTTTTACTACTAGTATTAGATACCTTTGAATTGTCATGGTGTATGTCAATCTTTGTCTTCCATTTCTTAAGAAGACTATTACTATTACCATGCAACAACTCTAAAGATTGGTGATAGGTCAGAGATCTTTAGCTAATTTTTGGGCACCAAGTATCAACTCTTGGAAATGATTAATGCACCAATTTGCAGAGCTCCTGGATCTATAGCTAATTTTTGGGCACCAATTTGCTAGATAATGACAATTTGAAATAGGTCCACTTTTAATAGTTTAACTTCAACTCATATGCATATTTTTTTATATGTGGATTGTAAACACTGGGCAATGAACTTCCAGAGTTCCAGGGTGGTATGGTACCTACATTTGTGGTGATAAATATGTTGGTGATTTGGTGTTGCAGATGGTCTGTAATGGTCAACACAAATGTTCAAAGAATGTCATCCCAGAAGACAAGATGATTGCTGAGGACTAGCCTTCAACCACGGTATTTTGTCTCTTTAACATTTAGGGTCATTTTATTTAACCTGAGGGGTGAAACTTTTATCACATGCCCATTGGATGCACTCCATTCATTTAAAAAATATACAAACGTTTTTAACTCAAAATATTGGAGTTATCTTAACTAAGTTCAAACCACTTGATTAAGCCTCATACATAAGGTTTTCATGAGCAAATCTACAATTTTAAGCATTAAACCTACAAATGTCTTATCTTTTAAAATATAAAATATTTATACAGGGCAATACTCATGCATACTTCTTATCTTTGGTGAAAACAATGGAGAGAAAAATCCATGATAATGTGAGAATCAAAGGTATTTCATAGCCCCGAATCCGTCCGAAGCTCGACCAAACCCGAACTTCCCCCGTACCCGAACTTCCCCCGTACCTGAACTGCATATTACGGGACATGATATTATAATTCGATATCCGATCGGTTTTGTCGGCTTATGGTCCCATCCGACACGTGCTCACCCTTAGTCTGACATAACAGCTAAAAAATGCTTTCGAGCGCCGCAGACACAAAAATTGGCCGCCGAATAAATACACATTATATGGTTTTATATATGCCTTCAAGGTCGGTTATCGTTTTTTTATAATATCTTATTTACTGATTAAGTTACATTTTCTCATCATATTATTTTTCGTAACCTACCAGATATGGATTTTGGAGACATTTCCCTGAGCAATTATAATCCGTCAACCCCGAGGGCTATTGGATGGAAACGAGAAAAAAAATGATGAAATGGGAAGAGTGTTGCGAGTTCGCAACTTTTGACAAGGTTTGGATTCGTTTATTATAAGTTTAAGATTTACCAATTTTAGTTTTTGTTATTTATGTTAAAAAAATTATATTGATTTATACATTTTTATAACGTGTTTCGCCCCCTGACCTCGTTGGTGATGACAAATTTGGAGGAGTCGGGCCAATGGTGGATCGAAATCAGGAAATTTTTGACGAATAATTATTATGGACAACCAGACCCCGACCAAGGGATGGGTCACGAATTAGATAATGATGATGATGACGACGTCCAACCATCGGAAACATATCAATCATTTGCAACACAAACTTCTCACAGACCACGGTATCAGCCACAACATCGCCATTCATCTGCGGCATATATCGACATCCCCCAATGACATGTTGAATTAAACCAATTCAATGTTGGGGTCGATCAAAAGATCGCATCAGTTACATACCTTATTAACGTTAAAATATGGACTTATCGGCGTGAGATTTAATAAATGGGAGAACGATGTGCCAAGACCATTACCTAAGGCTGATCCTTCATACATGCCTCCGCAGGATGATTATGTAAGTATGTTCAATTTTTTTGATGTTTTAATTTACATGTTAACAATTATATAAACATTAAATTTATATTGGATTGTGCGTACGCAGTTTATGGCGCAAAAGTACTCACCGATGGATGCGGTAAATATATTTAAGATTTCTATGTTTTTACTTTACAAGTTAACAATTATATGAAAAACTTTTTAATTTTTATTGGATTGTGCGTACACAGTTTATGCCACAGTCGTACTATTATGATGATGTGGCAAATATGTTAAAGTTTCTTAATGTTTTTATGGGTAAAATGCACAAAATAGCAATCTACTTTCATAAATTTCTTTATTATAGTATTGTACTTTCAGTTTTTTTATTGCAACAATGTACTTTCAAACTATTTTTTATTAGAATATTGTATTTTGAAAAATTTACCCATTATAGCATTGAGTAATCTTTTAATTTAAATTTACCCATCATACCAGGTTTTCATGTCACCTCATTGCACGTAGGCTGTCCACATATACTATAGTGATGTGACTTTTTTACTAAATCATTGTACTTTCAAAATTATTTTATTATAGCATCTACTAGTTCTTATTAAACACTGTATTTTTAATTTTAATATTTAGATATTTCACATGTTATTTAATAAATATATTAAACGGATTAAAAAAATTCTAAATTATTTATTAATATACCAATATCAATAAAACTAGTAGAGCACAACTTATCTGAGTAATATTTTTAAGAAAATATGTGTTTTTTGAAAAAAGGAAAAAAAGAATTGTTCTTTTTTTACCAATAAATTATTATCTATTAAAAAATATATTAAAGAATATATAATATA